CTTCTATTGCCCTCAATCTTTCCCCGCATTAGGCTCTTCTCCAGTGAATCCTTCCTTCTCATTAGGTGGCCAAAGTACTTGAGTTTCAACTTCAGGATCTGGCCTTCTAAAGAGCAGTCGGGGTTGATCTCTTCTAGGACCGACCGGTTTGAAAGCCTTGCAGTCCAAGGGACTCGCAGGAGTCTTCTCCAGCACCACAGTTCAAAGGCCTCAATTCTTTTGCGCTCAGCCTTTCTTATGGTCAAACTTTCACAGCCATACATTGCAACTGGGAAAATCATGGCCTGGACTATGCGCACTTTTGTTGGCAGGGTGATGTCTCTGCTTTTTAGAATGCTGTCTAGATTTGCCATAGCTTTTCTCCCCAGGAGCAAGCGTCTTTTAATTTCTTGGCTGCAGTCTCCATCTGAGGTGATCTTGGAGCCCAGAAAAATAAAATCTGTCACTACCTCCATTTCTTCCCCATCTGTTTGCCAGGAATTGAGAGGGCCGGATGCCATGATTTTGGTTTTCTTAATGTTGAGTTTCAAGCCAACTTTTGCACTCTCCTTCTTCACCCGCATCAAGAGGCTCTTTAGTTCCTCTCCACTTTCTGCCATTAGAGTGGTATCATCTGCATATCTTAGGTTGTTGATATTTCTCCCGGCAATCTTAATTCCAACTTTTGATTCATCTAGCCCTGCCTTTCTCATGATGTGCTCTGCATATAAGTTAAATAGGCAGGGCGAAAGTATACAGCCTTGCCGGACTCCTTTTCCAATTTTGAACCAATCAGTGGTTCCGTGTTCGGTTCTCACTGTTGCTTCTTGACCCGCATATAGGTTTCTCAAGAGACAAATGAGATGGTCTGGTACTCCCATCTCTTTAAGAACTTGCCACAAAAAAGGATTACGGATATGCAAACACAATCACACTGCAATTATAGGAGAAGGAAGGAAGGAAGGGAGGGAGGGAGGAAAGGAAAGAAAGAAAGAAAGAAAGAAAGAAAGAAAGAAAGAAAGAAAGAAAGAAAGAAAGAAAGAAAGAAAGAAAGAAAGAAAGAAAGAAAGAAAGAAGACTCCAAATAATACGTTTCGTGTGCTTGTTTGTCCCCTAGATTAATCCACTGACAAAAGATGATGAGGGCATTTACCAGTGTCATGCCGCAAATATGGTGGGAGAAACACAGGCAGAGGGGACTATTAAAGTCCTACACCAGAGTAAAAATAAGAAGAATCACTTCCCAGCATCAGAAGACGCAAAGTAGTAAGGTAACCTTGATCCCTTTAGTCCTCGTTGGTAGAAATGCCTTTTTAAATGAATGTAAATGCCTGCCTTTTTTTTTCAGACAAGGATGGCATAATAAAATGAAAAAGGGGGGAAAGGCTTACAAGTCTGTTTTAACCTAAAGGCAAACAGATCTTGACCACCGTGGAATATTTATACGCACACGGTTGCAGTTTCCACACCATTATTGCACATGTTACAGGAATTATCCACTGAAAGAACTTTATACTACATTGGCTATGTTTCTAACTTTTTAAAAAGGAAATTAGTAGGTATCCTTTGCCTAGTGCTGTCGAACAGAATCAATGTACATTTTACTATAGGCAAAATCAAGGCACTGTAGAAACTATGGAAACGTTGCTGGAAATAGCCACTCTATGGCTATCTCCTCAATTCTGATCTCTGAAGCATCTCAGAAATGAGACCTTTTGCAGCAGTGATTTATTTTTGGGTAATTGGGGATTGCTATCCTCAACTTCATAATTTACATGATGGATTTCAATGCAGAAATATCTGTGAAGCCAGATAGGTTGGCTCACTTTCTCAAAAAAAAAAAAAAAAAAAAGATGGAGAAAACTGAGACTTACTGGGACAGTGAAATGCTTAGACCACACAGTAATGAGAACAGGTTAAGGGACTTGGTAGCATACATGGATCTCGTATTGCTTAAGGTGGTAATGGTAGTGGGGAGACTGGAGCATCCTTTCTTATTAATGCAGTATCATAATTGTTTGTGTCTTTAACCTGTTTAACTCCACCGAAACATGTTAATACGGGGCAAAATAAAAGATTGTGAGCCAATCACAACTCCTTTTCTCATTGTATTTGTAGTATAGAGACTCTATACTAGATGCAAAATTAAGATTTGTGGACTTAACTCCCATGGCCGGCTAGGTATGTAATTCTAAGAGTTGGAAGTCCACAAGTTGCCAAAATTAGACACCCCTGCTCTACAGTGTGTGATATTATCCTACATTTTTCCAAGAACTACTCCATGTGTTTGAGAAATACAGCAATTGATGCCACATTTTCTGGTATATGACTGCCAATCATTCTGCAAATAGCCCACAATCATTTATATGCACACTATGCAAGTAGTTTTGGCTGTAAAAGCTGCCACACAAAGCAGGATCAGTGAATGTTGGCCAAAGTTGAAATGTAGCACTTTCCCCTCCTCGTCTTAAAAGGAAAACAGAGAACCAGAACAGATGGGACTATGGTAGCACAGGAGAAAGTGCATTTTAGGATCTTATAAAAATAGGAATTAAAAGGTAGGAATGAAAAGAGGAAGAGTATGCATCTTTGGATACAAAGAAAATTAGTGGGTTACATAAGGACAGTGCATGGAAAGAGAACAATTAATGGAACAATAAGCTGAATTATAACCAATTATTTATCTGTACCTGACGATACAACCCTCTGAATCTAAAACAGAAGCCTTCAAATTAATTTTCTATAAAACTGCATATAAATATTATTTGTGGATGCCACTAGTTAATTTTTTTTCTCTCCTTCCCCCACTTCTGTCTAGGAGACATCCTCCAGTGGGACTGGAACTGAACACAATCTAGAAGCCAATGAATTAGTGAATGCTTTCTTACTTTCTGAAGACTAGAAGATACCATCTCAATCTTTTCTTGAGTAATAGCGATATTTGTACCCCCTTTTTTAGTGTTTGATGAATATTGAGCATATAGTTAGTATGTAACAAAAACATAATAAAAGCATGTTTTTTTAAAAAAATGTTTTTATTACCACTCTTAAGTGTATCTAGAAAACATTACAACTTACTATAGCAACCAACTAACTGGCAAAACATTAATTATTGTATTCGAGGCCATTTAAAATTGAGACAAAATATTCATTGGACCTCTCCCTTCACTAAGCAATTGATTCTCCATCATTTTTGTCCCTAAAATTAAATGGCCCTGTGAGAAATATCAGAAACAACATTGTATTTACAATGTTAACCACTTGAATGTGGTTAAACTAATATTGCATTAGTTTAACCACTTGAATGAAATTTGCTAGATTTATATTCACTTTTCTTCCAAGACCTTTACTTCATTATATACTCACCACAGCCCTGTAAATTGAGAGAAGAGTGAGTGACTGGTTCAAAGTTATCCATTGAATTGTCATGGCTCCGGTGGAGTAGAATCTTTTCTCTCTTGTATCTTAAATTTTGTACTAGCCCAACAGTTCAATCACTATACTGGCACAGCCTACAAAATGATAGAGGGCAGGGGGTAGGCAACCTTGGCTCTTTTATGACTCGTGAACTTCAACTGCCAGAATTCCTGAGCCAACCATGCTGAGGGGAAAGTGAGAGGTTTCCAAGCTGAGCCATGCTGGTTCAGGAATTCTGGGAGTTGAAGTCCATGAGTCATAAAAGAGCCAAGGTTGCCTACCCCTGGGATGGGGTTTCCTGCTTGAGCAGAGGGTTGAACTAAAAGATCTCCAAGGTCCCTTCCAACTGTTATACTGTTACTATTACATCTTTAAAAGTGCGCCAAATTTGAGAACATACTGTTTCATCTGTATGGTCTTAGTTGCTTGACTTATTATAGAATAATGCCTTTAATCTAGCTGTATTTTCTCTCCTATGTAAAAATTGAGGAAACACTTTTCATATTGTAATGATTGTTAAAATAGAATAGACAAGATGGAAACTCACAGTTATAGTGCAGTTTCCTGCATGCTTATACCCATTTGCTAGAAAAGAAATTCCTGTTATTCTATCGCTCAACTCCGAGTTTACTTATATATTTTGACTGGATAGGGGTGTACTTCCAAGACAAAACAACCCTTAAATTTCAGGGCCCTCCCCCCAGTTTTTATTTTCTAAAGATAGTCCACAAATTTTGATGGAACCTAATGAAATCCCTATTTAAAAATGACCACACCACTTTTCTTAGAATAAAGATTGCTTACTTAGCCATGGCTGCTTTCATTCAGGGAAATGTTCACGATATATTCACATATTGTTCTGAATTGTCACCATTTTAAGAGAAATCAAAGAAAACAGCCTCATACACAAACCCCAGACTGCTTTTTGAATGAAATGAAAGCGCCTGGAAGAAGCTGATATGGATGTGAAAGAGAGCGTTTTCTCCTTTTTGTACATGGCATCTGGATACTAAGCTTTGCTATCTTGCAGTTAGGTTTTATCTGGCTGACCTAGCCTCCGTTGATTTAATCTTTAAAAAAAAAAAAAAAAAACTTCTGAAGCTGCACCTAATTTCTTCATTGCTCTCAAGGGAGACAATACCAGTAGGTTGACTCTGACCTTGATTCATTTCAAATCAATATTTTTGGGAGCAGGCAGATCAGTACGGCTGCAATTCCTGTCTTTAATATGGAAGTCATGTCTAAACTAGTACCTATCTCCCCATTGTATGGTATTCTTCCTTTCTTTACTATGACTGACAAACTTCATTAGATGAGTCCACATTTTAATTATATCTGAATTGTTCTGTCTATTCCATGCCTTTTTTTTTTTTTTTTGCTTGTTTGCTTAACAAAACTGAGTATCATCACAAAAAAGACAAACAAGAAGTAGTCAGCTTTGCTTTTGGCTCAATTTAGCATTACCTGTTTTTGATCTTTTGAAAAGCTTCAAGCACAGTGCTGTTTTTTATTCTCATCTTGAAGTGTCAGAACTTAACGAAAAGGATGCAGTATGAAAGAACAAGTTTAACTGATCTGACCAGAAATATTGCAGAACACTATTATTAGAACATATGCTCCATTTATTTTAATCTTTCAGGATACATTCATAAGGTTTCACATGGAGATTGTATAGTGACAACACTGTTTATACTTCAAAGATAATTATATTCCAATGCATATTCAGCAGCTTTCCCAAATCAGATCTGGTTATAAACTCTGAATAAAAACAAGATTGCACCAAACATGAAGCAGGAACAAAATTACAAGAATTATTTTTCAGCTGCTCTATAATCTTCATATGGAAATATTCAGGATCCATCTGTCAGGATATGGAGTCACTTGTCTATAGTCCATTCTTAGCAAAGCTTACAAAGTCCAGCTTGGTCTTCCATGTAGGCAACCCTCAAAGTTCATACTATCATATGCTGTCCAGCTTCTTTAAAATGTATGGAGCTATGGAAAGAAACACAGTGATGCACTGAACAAACAAAATGAAAACTCCCGATTTAAAGTTTGCTAGATAAGGAGGAAAGTGATAGTATATATAGGTAATTGACAATAAATGTCCTGCGAAGGTGTAACCAAACCATGGTAAATGTTTTAATAAATATTACTCGCTTAGTTTCTTCCCCATGGCGATGAGCCAAAATGCTTTGTAGTCATGCACTAAATATTCTGATCTTGAAAAAAAATAGATTTAACAAAATTGCACTGAAAACAAGTTGAGTTTTCTATTTCTTGGGCACTGAAAGAATCGATATACTTTAAAGTTATAAAATACAGGTGTATAAATCGTGAAAAACTAGAGATATATTAAAAATGTGAAATGAAACAGAATGACATTATTCACAAGAGCCAAATCGTAAGCAGGCCCATTGAAAGATTTTCTCTCTACTTTAATTTCTGGGTGTCTACTGTTGAAACTCAGGGGCCAAGTGGCAATATTGAAAGAATCACCAACAGTCCAAGACTGGTTTTATGAAATACTGTATTGCACAGTAGTGTCATTCTATGTTAGCTGCAAAAATGCAGTCATCTGTTAAATTACAGTTTCCTTTCCTATTTTGTTGCTAGCATCTAATGACTGGATTTTTGCAACTTGGATTAATATCTCTACTACTAAGATTGGAATGGAGGAGAGTGTTGTGGGCTGCATCAGAAAATTTAGCTGTAGCACCAGGTTTTCCTGAGTTTTTTTAAATTGTATATTATGTTTTTATCCTTGGGTTGTAATTCCCCAGAGTTTGGTTTAAGATAGGCAGCCATATAAATATGTATACTAACTTTGGTTATTTAAAACAAGCTTGTTAGCATTGATTATACCTTGCGTCAGTGTCTCATCCTTGTCCATTGGACTTGGGCAGCCAATAAATTTATATACACTCGACTTACAACAGTTCATTTAGTAGCTGTTCAAAGTTACAACAGTACTGAAAAAAGGGACTTATGAGAGTTTTTCAGAGTTAACGGCTTTTGTAGCACCCCATGGTCATGTGATCAAAATTCAGATGCCTGGCAACTGGTTCATACTTATGACCGTTACTGCATCCCAGGGTCATGTGATCACTTTTTGCGACCTTCTTGCAAGCAAAGTCAATGGGGAAGCCAGATTCACTTAACAACCTTATCAACTCACAGTATTCCAGCTGAGCTATTCAAAATCTTAAAAGACGATGCAGTAAAAGTGCTACACTCAATTTGTCAGCAAATTTGGAAAACTCAACAATGGCCACAGGATTGGAAAAAGTCAGTTTACATTCCAATGCCAAAGAATGTTCAAACTATTGCACCATTGCACTCATTTCACATGCTAGTGAAGTTATGCTTAAAATCCTACAAGCTAGACTCCAGCAGTATGTGGATCGAGAACTACCAGAAGTACAGGCAGGATTTCGAAGAGGCAGAGGACCTAGAGATCAAATTGCCAACATATGCTGGATCATGGAGAAAGCTAGGGAGTTCCAGAAAAACATTTACTTCTGCTTCATTGACTATGCTAAAGCCTTTGATTGTGTGGATCACAACAAATTGTGGCAAGTTCTTAAAGAGATGGGAGTACCAGACCATCTTATTTGTCTCTTGAGAAACCTATATGTGGGTCAAGAAGCAATAGTGAGAACTGGACACGGAACCACTGATTGGTTCAAAATTGGGAAAGGAGTCCGGCAAGGCTGTATACTGTCGCCCTGCCTATTTAACTTATATGCAGAGCACATCATGAGAAAGGCAAGGCTAGATGAATCAAAAGTTGGAATTAAGATTGCTGGGAGAAATATCAACAACCTAAGATATGCAGATGATACCACTCTAATGCAGAAAGTGAAGAGGAACTAAAGAGGCTCTTGATGCGGGTGACGAAGGAGAGTGCAAAAGTTGGCTTGAAACTGAACATTAAGAAAATCAAAATCATGGCATCCAGCCCTCTCAATTCCTGGCAAATAGATGGGGAAGAAATGGAGGTAGTGACAGATTTTATTTTCCTGGGCTCCAAGATCACCTCAGATGGGACTGTAGCCAAGAAATTAAAAGACGCTTGCTCCTGGGGAGGAAAGCTATGGCAAATCTAGACAGCATTCTAAAAAGCAGAAACATCACCCTGCCAACAAAAGTGCGTATAGTCCAAGCCATGGTTTTCCCAGTTGCAATGTATGGATGTGAAAGGTGGACCATAAGAAAGGCTGAGCAACAAAGAACTGAGGCCTTTGAACTATGGTGCTGGAGAAGACTCCTGCGAGTGTCTTGGACTGCAAGGCAATCAAACCGGTCAGTCCTAGAAGAGATCAACCCCAATTGCTCTTTAGAAGGCCAGATCCTGAAGTTGAAACTCAAAATACTTTGGCCACCTAATGAGAAGGAAGGACTCACTGGAGAAGGGTCTAATGCTGGGAAAGATTGAGGGCAATAAAAGAAGGGGACGACAGAGAATGAGGTGGCTGGATGGAGTCACTGAAGCAGTAGGCGTGAACTTAAATGGACTCCAGAAGATGGTAGAGGACAGGAAGACCTGGAGGAACGTTGTCCATGGTGTCGCGATGGGTCGGACACGACTTCGCAATTAACAACAACAAACTGCAAATTGCCTTTCCCATTTTTCCCGCAAATACCTCGGCAGGGTTGGCCCGAGGCATGCCTGGCCAAAGGTCCCTCTCTCCCCCCTCCCCACCCGTGGACCTTCCATGAGCCAGAGTTGCCTTGAATCCAATTCCGCTCTGGACCTACTTCAACCCCTTAGCCACTACTCCACCCCGATCTACTAATGATATGAAATACTGGAGCCCGTATAAAAGCCCAATGTGAAGATCACTCATAAATCCTGGTTTTGCAGCGGCTCCCAAGAAAATTCCCCAGCACGTGGCAGCCGCTGTCCCAGATGTGGGCGCGCGAGAGGTACTTACCGACGCGCAGCACGGCTACGTAGATGAGGAAGTTGCGGATCGAACAGAGGACGTCCTCGCGCATTTTGCGCTTCATTTCCTCCGGGTCCAGCTTGGGCCCCAGACCCTCAAGGCGGAACATGGTCTCTCAGCTGCCGTCGGCGACCACCGTTCCCTGAGCCAAAGAAGCTTCCGAAAAACTACCCAGAGGCTCTTCTCGAAATAATCCCGCCCTCTCTACGGATGTCATAGAGGGACAAATTTCTTGCTATGGTCGGCGCCCACGGGGAAAGACTATTCCCCTTCGATACTTCCGGTACAGAATGATGGTCAATTCTGAGTTCCGGTGCCGAAGGAAAGTTCTCATCCTAAGCGCGATGTGAGATGAAATAAAGTCTCTTAGGGCTGGTCGAAAATCGCAGGTGCTTTTTTTCTAATTTTTAACGTTTCTTTTTTTCCTCTCTCTCATAGCTTCCCTATTATGTAGAGTCTCTTTTAAACTCTTGTTTTTCCTGCTCTCTGCAGAAAGGTAATGCTACTTTAAACATTAAGATTGGAAGGGCGGGTTTATTACAGCATTTGTATAATATTTCTGCTAGGAGAAAAAAACAAACGATTCAATTTTATATCCAACAGTATGCTGCAAATTGCAATAACTATTTGAGATGTAGATTGGGAAGTTGAGACTGAAAAATACTATCCTCGTGTGCCAGAGCTTGTCTTCGTTTTCTTCTGTTTACAAGAATAAAAAGAGATTTTTAGAATAAGGTAAAGAATTCTAGGGATAGAATAAAGCACAAATGGGACATACAGTATCCAATCCATCTATAGGTGTAGCCAGTTTACAGATAGCAAATTGGAAGATGATTCCATGGTGACCTTGATCACAAATTACTTGCTGAATAGGAGGTTTGCACAATTCACTGTGAACACTCTAATATCACAACCTGGCTATAACTGGATTGTGACGCAATATAGATTTCCGCTGTGAACGCTTTAATATCACAACCTGGCCGTAAGTGGATTGTGACACAATATGGACTTTATTCTGGATGCTTGCAATGATAATTAATGGGACATTAATGGACATTTCAGTAGCAACTACTACTCAAGCATTGTTCAGAATTGGCCCAAGACATTTGGTTACTTACAATAGAATATCAAATGGTACTATTCAGTTGGGAAGAACCCCATTTTCAAGCCAAGGTTCACAGTATTTAAAGCCAGCAAAATGTTGACACCAGTGCAGCTCATCCATGATAGCAAATCATCTTTACCATCTTCACTATTTTTTATGTTATCTAAAATCAACTGTTTCCCAGCCGTCTCCATATAATAATATGGCACTGCCTGCCATCCAAATTGCAATTTACAAATAGGAAAGAAACATCTCTGGCTTCAAACTGCTGGCAAAATCCTTCTCAGTTCTGGGGAAAAAAAACTGCTCACCATTTTAAATCCCACCAATCTACATCAAGTGTTATAAAACATGATGGAACATTTAAAATGATAGCTATCTTCCTCAGCTTCACCCACTTGTGCTGTTGAATAAGCTTGGGATTGGGGAACTGTTTTTGTATATAACTGCTGCGAGACTATTACATGTACAAAAATGGAAAAACTGAATTATAATGGTGAGATAGTTGGCAAAGGTGACATAATTAGCAGAGATAGCTAAATTGATTTTCCTGATTAGGAAAAGGGACAGTAACCATATTTATTGGAAATGATTGGAAACACCTTTTGGATTTTTGGCTGAAAAAAAGATATTATAAAAATTATTATAATTTTTTTCTTTTTTTCTTTCTTTTTCTTCTATTACATCTTTTTTCACTTATTACTAACTTTACTCTTTTTTCCAAAATTTGTATTGCTTTTATTCTCAACATTCATTTAATAAACATTTTTGTAAAAAAAGGATTGGGCAGCTGATTGGTAGAAGAGTCACTGGGTTCTGACTAAGAGCTTTTTACTACAAGCAATCATTAATGAAACTCAGCTCTTGCTAGAGCAGTTGAAAGGACAATCAACATTATCCTAACTCTGTTACATGGTTTGGGGCATAGAAAATAGGAAAGAAACAAAGCCATGAGGACAAGCGATAAAACTGGGGTTGCTAGGCAATTTCAGTGGTTCTACAAATAGTTAATGAAGAAAGGCTCAGAATTTGGTCCCTCACACTGATGTAAAAGTCTATGTTACGCTTGACTCTATGTTTTACGTTGCCTAAGGGGAGAAGGACATGATTGCTAGACAAGGTATAAGTCTTCCTTGGCTTTTGCAGTGTGAGATTTGGGAGTTGAATGCAACATGTACATGTTGGATATCTGTGAACACTTCAAGGTTTACCTTCTCGTTGTTTTAGGGTCTCTCTGAAATTAGAGTGGTATCCTAAAAGTGCTTTGTCACTGCTGTAAACATCATTAAAATAGAGAAAGACAGGAACATCTAGGAAGCCGTGTTCATACATTGGCAATTAATGTTTATCTATAATTCATTCCTACTCATTCAGTTGGCAAAAATTAGAGGTACTGCAGAACCAAAAACTTAGGCCTGTGGGAGAAGATAGTGGAAGAGCAGAGAGCTTCTACAAACAACTCATAGAGCTTTGACAATTACTGCTAAGACGAAAGGAGAAATACTAAGAGATAAGGATAAAAGTGGGATCTTTAGAAATTTTGTTTTCTTTTCCAAAAACACAAAAAAATTCAAAGTATCTGATGGGCTAGGTCAGGGGTAGGCAACCCAAAACACTCAAAGAGCCACTTGGACCTGTTTCCCACCAAAAACAAAACACTGGGAGCCGCAAAACCCTTTTGATATCTAAAATGAAGATAACACTGCATATATCCTTTTTTACCTTTATTATAGGTGTGTGTGTGTGTGTGTGTATGTGTATGTGTGTATACACACACACACACACACACAAACATATACACATTAAAAATAAAAGTAAAAATATGACTCTTGGGAATATCCATACTATTAAAACAATGATCACCAAGAGAATGCTTTAAGAGAATAAAATTACATACACACAAGGGTAAAAAAGGATATATGCAGTGTTATCTTCATTTTAGATGTCAAAAGGGTCTCTCTCCCCCTCCCTCTCTATCTGCCCTTGGTCTGCCACTCCTCTTCCCCCACTCTCTCTCTCTCTCCCTCTCTCTCTTTCTCTCTCTCTCTTTCTCCCCCCCCCCTCCTATCTGCTGCTCACCTGGCAAGCTTCAAGCTGTTGTCCAACAAGCTCAGGGGTAAGCAACCTCGTCTCTTTTATGACTCATGGACTTCAACTCCCAGAATTCCTGAGTCAGCCTAGCTGGGCTAGCTAGCTCTCTCCTGCCTTTCCTGCTTCCTGCTTCCTTCAGAGACGCAGCAAAGGGAGGAGCTCCGCCCAGAAAGCTTTTCAGCTCCTCGGAGAACACTGTGAGTGCACTCTCTTTTACACATATACACACACACACACACACACACAGAGGGAGAGAGAGAGAGAGAGAGAGAGAAGCGGGGAAGTGCAATTGCCTCTATCTGTCTCTGTCTCTCTCTGCAAAGGCAGAGGAGGCTGGGAGCCACAGGGGAAGGCTCAAAGAGCCGCATGCGGCTCCGGAGCCGCAGGTTGCCGACCTGTGGGCTAGGTGAACTGAAGAACCTTTCAGATATAATCTCTGAAAACACCTGATTAATTGCAGTACATTTTTCAAACAAGGAACCACACTTGTTTAATTTGTGTCAATTCACCTTGGTTACCTAGAATAATAAATTATATCTGGAATTGATGTGGCAAAGATTTCTCATATATTTTCCACCATCCTAGAATTGTATGTATCATAATAGGATGGGAGAAAAATGAACTAAATTTCTATATTCAGAAATGGTAATATCATAGACATTTGTTTGCTTCTTTTTAACAGGATTTGGACAAGCTGTTTTGCAATAAATCTAACCCTTTTTTGCATATTGTAAGATCCAGTTTGGAAGTCTAAAAGCTGTCCACCATATCATCTAAAAATATAAACAATGTAAAAATGGCCATAAAATCAGCCATGTTTTTCCTCTGTCAAGTTTTGCAGTGATTTTGTTTAATTGGTGTAATAAAACTATTGCTATTATGGATTTTCTCCTTCATGGATTACTGCCTTGTTGTGGCGAAGGGGCTTGTGTAACTCAATGAAGCTATGAGCTATGCCCTGCAGAGCCACCCAAGACGGACAGGTAATAGCAGAGAGTTCTGACAAAATGTGATCCACTCGAGAAGGAAATGGCAAACCACTCCAGTATCTTTGCCATGAAAACCCCATGGACAATACTAAAAGGCAAAAAGATATGACGCTGGAAGATGAGCCCCTCAGGTCGGAAGGTGTCCAATATGCTACTGGGGAAGAGCAGAGGGCTAGTACTAGTAGCGCCAGAAAGAATGAAGTGACTGGGCCAAAGCCGAAAGGACGCTCAGCTGTGGATGCATCTGGTGGTGAAAAGAAAATCCGATGCTGTAAAGATCTTTTCTCCATAGGAACCTGGAATGTAAGATCCATGAATCAAGGCAAGCTAGACGTAGTTAAACAAGAGATGACAAGACTGAACATCGACATCTTAGGAATCAGCAAACTAAAATGGACAGGAATGGGTGAATTTAACTCAGATGACCATCAGGTATACTACTGCGGGCAAGAATCCCTCAGAAAAAATGGAGTAGCCTTCATAGTCAATAAAAGAGTAGGAAAAACAATACTGGGATACAATCCCCAAAATGACAGAATGATCTCAGTTCGAATCCAAGGCAAACCATTCAATATCACAGTAGTCCAAATCTATGCCCCAACCATTGGTGCTGAAGAGAATGAAATTGACCGGTTCTGTGAAGCCCTACAGCACCTTATAGAATTAACACCAAAAAATGATGTCCTTATCATCATGGGGGATTGGAATGCTAAAGTAGGAAGCCAAAAGATAACCGGAATAACAGGCAAGTTTGGCCTTGGAGAACAAAATGAAGCAGGGCACAGGCTAATAGAATTTTGTCAAGAGACTACGATGGTCATAACAAACACTCTTTTCCAACAACCCAAGAGACGGCTCTACACATGGACATCACCAGACGGTTAACATAGAAATCAGATTGACTATGTGCTCTGCAGCCAAAGATGGAGAAGCTCTATACAGTCAGTAAAAACAAGACAGGAGCTGACTGTGGCTCAGATCATGAGCTTCTCATTGCAAAATTTAGGCTTAAATTGAAGAAAGTAGGGAAAAACACTAGGCCACTCAGGTATGAACTAA